CGCCACTGAACGCGCCACCCCGATCTCGCCGCGCTGCCGGGTGGGGGGGATGTGGTGCTTACCGCATGACTAACATGTGGCTTCGGGGGCTGTTGTAGCACAACACTGTCCTAGGTGATGCAAACAAAACAATGCTGCACAACTCTAATTCATCTGCTGCTCAAAGAGGAACCCTTTGTTACAAGATAGGAATGTTTGGCATTCTTTTCACCTACCACCCTTCTCTTTTGCTCTGTGAATCTTCCTTCTCTGAAGTTTAAAAAACAATGGCGGTGATTGCTGTTTCAGCACTAAGCCGGGGAGGGGGGGAGATGTCACTAGCTGAAATAAAAACATACAGTGGGGCAAAAAAATATTTAGTCAGCCACCAATTGTGCAAGTTCTCCCACTTAAAAAGATGAGAGAGGCCTGTAATTTTCATCATAGGTATACCTCAACTATGAGAGACAAAATGGGGGGAAAAATCCAGAAAATCACATTGTCTGATTTTTAAAGAATTTTGGTCTTGGCCATAATGGAGTTTGGAGTGTGACTGTTTGAGGTTGTGGACAGGTGTCTTTTATACTGATAACAAGGTCAAACAGGTGCCATTACTACAGGTAACAAGTGGAGGACAGAGGAGCCTCTTAAAGAAGTAGTTACAGGTCTGTGAGAGCCAGACATCTTGCTTGTTTGTAGGTGACCAAATACTTATTTTCCACCATGATTTGCAAATAAATTCTTTAAAAATCAGACAATGTGATTTTCTGGATTTTTCCCCCCATTTTGTCTCTCATAGTTGAGGTATACCTATGATGAAAATTACAGGCCTCTCTCATCTTTTTAAGTGGGAGAACTTTTTGGTCTTGGCCATAATGGAGTTTGGAGTGTGACTGTTTGAGGTTGTGGACAGGTGTCTTTTATACTGATAACAAGGTCAAACAGGTGCCATTACTACAGGTAACAAGTGGAGGACAGAGGAGCCTCTTAAAGAAGTAGTTACAGGTCTGTGAGAGCCAGACATCTTGCTTGTTTGTAGGTGACCAAATACTTATTTTCCACCATGATTTGCAAATAAATTCTTTAAAAATCAGACAATGTGATTTTCTGGATTTTTCCCCCCATTTTGTCTCTCATAGTTGAGGTATACCTATGATGAAAATTACAGGCCTCTCTCATCTTTTTAAGTGGGAGAACTTTTTGGTCTTGGCCATAATGGAGTTTGGAGTGTGACTGTTTGAGGTTGTGGACAGGTGTCTTTTATACTGATAACAAGGTCAAACAGGTGCCATTACTACAGGTAACAAGTGGAGGACAGAGGAGCCTCTTAAAGAAGTAGTTACAGGTCTGTGAGAGCCAGACATCTTGCTTGTTTGTAGGTGACCAAATACTTATTTTCCACCATGATTTGCAAATAAATTCTTTAAAAATCAGACAATGTGATTTTCTGGATTTTTCCCCCCATTTTGTCTCTCATAGTTGAGGTATACCTATGATGAAAATTACAGGCCTCTCTCATCTTTTTAAGTGGGAGAACTTGCACAATTGGTGGTTGACTAAATACTTTTTTGCCCCACTGTATAGTCTCCTGCCCCCATTGGGAACAAAGAATATTCTATTTGTTGCTCCCAATATGTAAAGGACAGAATCAAAGGCTTTGAAACTACTTTTACAAATGTGTTTTCTAAGTCCCTGTAACCTTTAGGTACTATCAGTGAATAGCAATAATTTTATGTAATGAATGAGTAGGTATATGAATATGCTGGCGATAGGTTTGGAGCTATAACCCTTCAGTTAGTGATTGATAATAAAATAATAATCTATCCCAAGGTCTATATATTCTCATTTCTAATCCTAACTACAGGGTACATTGAAGACATTGAAGAACTACAAAATCAACTATTCAACCACATGAAGTCAGGAAAATATCGAAATAAATAATTTGTTTTAAAATAACAATAGAATACTTATTACAGTATAAATGGCATTTTTTTTTCTTCAAAAACAGAAGCACCAGTCTTAAGAAATGTGGTATGAGAAATATATAATATGAAGTGCCAGTGGCATTTGAGTTCTGGATATGATTGTTTTAGAAAAGTGTACATTGAAATCTGCTTAAATGGGAGTAAGTGTCATGCTGAATTTTAAAAACCCGATTTCCCTGGAATACAGTCTAATACTTACATGACCATGTTAGGAAATAAATATGCCAAAACAGGGGAAATGGTATGTTTATGTGCCATGCTTAGGTTCACTCTTCCCCCACCCACAGTCCCTAAATGGTACAATGCTTTTGATTGGAGTTGGAAAATATTCTTAACTCAGGCATATTCCTCATAGGTTGCTGTAAATTTTAATGCTGCTAGATCAGATTCTAAAACCAAATAAGTTTTTTTTTTTTAATACTGAAATTGTTTCAGTCATTACGAGTGAACTGTGAAAAGAGACGACGTCCAATGTAGTGAATAGACATCCATTTCTCCATCATGTGACTTCTGCAAAGGCTGTGATGTGGTTCTACAAAGATGAAAAGAAGAAAGCATGGGAGTCATTCATCTATAAAAATGAGATGTGCATTTTTCCACCTTCACCTACCACAGAAGATCCCACATTTTCAACTTTGATGGCACTCTGGAGATTCAACCATACATGTCTCTAGAAAATCTAAAATGCTTTACAGAATACTCCACATATGTTAAGGCAGAATTATAACTCAGTTATAACTCAATTTATTAATGATAAATTGACATGCGAACTAAAATATAAAAAGGGTCTGGTGAAAAGGAATGATTTTGATGTTATATGGGGTGAAT